ATCCTCCTCCTCCTCCCCCTCCCCATCCTCATCCTCATCGTCCTTATCTTCTCCCCTCCGTTTCAACCTCCTCCTCATCCTCCTCATCTTCCCTCCTCCCCCTTCCCTCTCATTCCTTCCTCCTCCTCCCTTCATCCTCCTCTCCTTCACCTACTCCCTACCCTTACTCCCTCCCTCCCCCCTCCTTCCACCTCCTCCTCCTACCTCCTACCTCTCCTCCTCCTCCCTCTCTTCATCCCCTTTTTCACCTCCCCTCACCCCTTACCCCTCCTCCTCCTCCTCCTCTCCTCCTGCCTCCTCCTCCTTCCTCCTCCTCCTCCTCCTCCTCCTCCCCCTCCTGTCCCTGGAGCCAGGGCGCTGCGACAAGGACCCCTCTGGTCTCGGGATGGGGCTCTGGTCTTCGGGCCGCCCCTCGGGCCGGGGTTTCGGGCGGCGGGGGCCGCCTGCTCGTGGCCGGGGCTCGCCGTGGCCGCCGAGGCCCCCGCGTGTCCTTGTGCGGCGCTGCGTCCGGCAGCACGACGTCTTTCTGTTCCTCTTCCGCCGCTCCTCTTCCCTCTCCTCCTCGTCGTCCTCCTCCTCATCCTCCCGCTCGCCCTCCCCCTCCTCCCGCTCCTGCTCCCCCTCCCGCTCTTCCTCTTCGCGCGCTCGTCGTCTGATGCTCCTCTGCTTTCTCCTCGTTGATGCTCTTGTTACACATCCGGTATCCTCCTCCCCATTTTTCCTTTTTCTAGAGGCTTGCGACATTCCCCCGATCCCGAATGGATGACCTCACGATGACTGGCTATTTGGGCTTGTCTCGTGGGCCTCGTGGGGCTGTTCCGGGGTTTGTCTGGGCCCTTTCTAGTTCTTCGGGTCTGCTTTGAGCTTTTCGGGGCCATCTTGGCGTCCCTTGTGGAGTACTGGGGCAGTTTCGGATGGTTGCGGGGCCGTCCAAGGGAAGTTTTGGAGCGGGCTGTCTTGGCCCTATTTCGGGGCCATTTGGGGGCCAGACGGGAACCGCTGCATTTTGCATGGCTTCTTCTCCTCCTCCGCCTTCTCTTCCTCCTCCTCCTCCTCCTGTTCTCTCCCCGTCCTTCGTCGCCATCCTCGCCCCCCCAAGCGATCCAGGGAGGAGCATCCATCGGGCCTCCCATCACTTCTCCTCCCAGGGGCATGGAAGAAAAGGGCAGGAACATCCTGGGAAGAGGATCGCTGGAGTGGAAGGGAAGCGCGGGTCAGAATTGTCGGAAAGAGGAGGGAGGTCAGTTGAGTGGAAGGTGGGAAGGCAAGCAGTGGGGAGGTGGCAGGAGGACAGAAGGACGGGAGGCGAAGGCAGAGGAGCAGAGGGGGAGGGAAGCGATGGGAGGGGGAGGGACAGAAGGGATGGGAGTGGGATTGCTTCTCGCCTTTGCCTCGCACTCTTCGTGCACCCCCCGAGGCCGCACCCGCCCGCGGGTGCTCTTCAAGGCCCACCGAGTCCCATGGACCCCCGCCACTGTTTCTCCGGGCGTGTCTCTCTACAGGAGGAACATTCCCAAGTAGTCAAACAGTAGTTTTGGGACAATTTGTGGACCATTGTGGATCTTTTTGAATCATGTTCTGATTATTTCGGATTTTTCGTCCGAACTCCCCCTGTAGGATGACATGCCCGACCTAACCGTAGCCCCTGGCTTGCTTGGCAGCGTGCGAGTGGTGGCGCCACCACCGGGCGGCCGTTGGCGTGCAGCGCTCCGATCGCTCCATCCGGGGAGGCCCATCGCAGTCGCCATCGTGCATGCTGGCGTTTGGCTCAAGGTAGAGTTGCGCCTCAATCGGATCTACCTTAATCGAGGGATCGGGATCTACCTTCAGTATCGTTTCTCCGACCCCCCATCCCCATCCCCATCCCCTTCGAGACCCCCGCCAAATTGCCCCCCCAGTTGGGGATGCACCCCTCGAAACCCGGAGGGAACGGCCTACATCCCCATCTAGGGGGGCAAATCGGCCAGTGGGGCCCAGGCCACGCCGCCGGGGATGGGGATCGGTGGAACGATACTCATGCCTCAATCTTGGGCGACGAGTTCGATGCGGACCCACGGCTCCCTGGCCAGGCCCACCCTGCACCCAGGAGCTGTGTGCATACGCCCTCCTCCTCCTCCTCCCTCCTCCTCCTCCTCCTCCTCCTCCTCCTCCTCCTCCTCCTGGCCGAGCTAGGAGGGCGTGGCGCACGCACCGCTGCTGGGCTCCGGCTGGGCCTTGGGCCAGGAAGCGGTGCCACCGCTCCCTGGCCAGGATCCGGGCGTTCGTGACGCGCCACGGGGCAGCGAGGCCAGTCCCGAAGCCCAAAGAACCCTGCTAAGTAAGCGCGGCCCAGGTGTCCTGGCGCCAACGTCGCAAAACGGATCTCGTTCGGAAAACGATCGGGTGGGCCCGGAGTGTCCGGATTTCGAGGTGGGTTTCGTGCGGATTTCTGTTTGGCCAGGGATGAAGACCACGGAGAACCCACGCGAAGTTCTTTCGCTCTTCGCTCGCCGTTTCGGGCATACATCCGCGCAGAAATCCGCTGCAGCACGTCTGCAAGGCCAGTGCAATGGGGGGTGGATCTGTACCGATTCCGTCGCCCTATCCTCGCGAATGCAGTGCGTCCACTGCGAGCGCGACGCGAGCTTCTCCGGGAGGCCAGCGCCCCGCCGCCGACCTCGCCCAGGCGGGGGGGGAGTTCTCGCGGCGGTGCCCCTGGACTGCTCGGCGGGTGCCCCGGGGAGGGGCATGCGTCGTGGGTCACGTGCTCTGTGTACACACGCAGTGGCACCCCTGGCGCCACGTCTATGCCAAGCGGCACAGCGGAAGGCAGCGCGAACGCTGGCAAGACATCCGAGAGCACAAGTCAGCGAGGCACGCGGCCCGGCGTCATGCTGGGGCAGACTCGTCTGCCCTACGGGCCCTCTCTCTCTCTCTCTCTCTCTCTCTCTTTCTACACACGTAATTCGGCACAGCACGTGTAGTATAGCACGTGCATCAGCACATGTGCATACAGCACAGGTGCGTACAGCACAGGTGCATGCAGCACATGTTAATGTACCGCGTGCGTGCGTCACACGTGCATACGGCACGTGTGTGCACAGCACATGTACACGCATCACATGCCACAGCACACTTGCACACAACACATGTACATGCAGCGCATGTGCACACACCATATGATTTTATAACACGTACATCCAACACATCACACACATTACATGTGCATACAGCACATGTGCATATCGCACATGCGATGTAACACGCACATGCAGCACATGTTCATGCACATAAGATGCTTACACACGTACACACACGTATAAGACGAGGGGGATGCGGATGTACATACGTGGGCGGAGAGGGAACAGCATGAGGTGCGGATGTGGAGGATCCGTGGTGGAATTGAGGGTGATCTTGTTGGGGAAATTTTGCGACGGAGAAAGGAGGCGCGTTCAAAGGAGGCAAGCCACGGACCACCGCGCGAATTCACGAAGGCCGATAAGGCGATTTGCAGTACTTGCGACGACGGGGCAGCCTCTTTACAAATGTTTCGCCGTCCAGGGGGCAACCGTAGACATGCCGTCTTGGGGCCTATTAGGGCTCTACTGAGCCACCTTAGGCCTCTTCGGATGCCCTCTTTGGCCGTCCTGGGGTTCATTGCGGCCTGCAAACTTCTTTAGAAACTTGAGGCTTGCGGACCATGGTGGCCACTGGGGTCATTTCTGGGTGGTTCCTGGCCGCTGCCCGTCTTGAGGCTCTCTGGGGTTTCTGACGCATGCCGTTGTAGAGGCCAATTGGAACGAATCGTGATCATGCTGTGTGATCTCGCTTGATCATCTCGCGCGGGTACGCGATCTCCGGACAATGTATGGTTCCGGGCCGTATTTTCCCAGCGACGGGCCCGACCAGATGCAGCCGCGAGTGACGCAACGCGCGGGTGCCACTCCCCGTTGGCGGCTCGCAGCTCGCGACGAAAAAGGGACGGAGCTCGGCGTGTGTCGAGTGGAGGCTGGTTGCAGCATGCATCCGCGCCCACTGGGGCCGTCCTTGGAGCTCCAAGTGGGGGTCACGAAGCGTATGAGGGGTGTGTCGACACGGGCGGGGGACGCCGTGCGGACACGCCCACGGGGGGCCTTCGGTGGAGCCCCTCGTGGGGACACGAAGCGTATGTGGGGTGGGGGCGTCCTCGCGGGCGTACCCACGTGGGTCTTGTGTGGAGCTCCATATGGGGCCACGACGGGTGCAAGGGGTGCGTCGGAACCAGCGGGGGGACGCCACGTGAACACGCCCACTGAGGCTTTCGCTGGGGGAGGGGGTTGGAGAAGGAGAAGGGACAAAGAAAAGGGACGCGGGTGGAGGAAAACGACCAGGAGGGGGAGGCGGAGGAGGAGGAGGAGGAGGAGGAGGAGGAGGAGGAGGAGGAGGAGGAGGAGGAGGAGGAGGAGGAGGAGGAGGCGGAGGAGGAGGAGGAGGAAAATCGGAGGAAGAGGAGCACGGCAGGGGGAGTAGGCGGATATCGAAGAGGAGGAGGAGGAGGAGGAGGAGGAGAGGAGGAGGAGGAGGAGGAGGAGGAGGAGAGGAGGAGGAGGAGGAGGAGGAGGAGGAGGAGGCGGGTCAGGAGGGTCAGGAGGGTCAGGAGGGTCAGGAGGAGGATGAGGAGGAAGAAGAAGAAAATGGTCGAATTAAACGAAAAAGCATGTCCCCTTACGGACACATGCCTGGGGCCATGTAGAGCACACAAGGACGTCTTGGAGGTGTCTGGACGTCTCTTGGTCGGAAGCCAGAGGCCATTCAGGATGGCACAGGTCGACCGTCCTGCACCGCGCTGGAGGCCGGGACCAAATCGGGGCAGCCTTGGGCAGTCCTGGGGGGCACTCTGTCATGGCAACTTCGGCCCCCTTGCGCAGTGGGACCGCCCCCATCAGACGAGATTGCTGACTTCTGGGGAGGGGGGACAAGATGGACGGGGGGCAGTCTCTCCTCCTCCTCCTCCTCCTCCTCCTCCCTTGCCTCCTCCTTCTGCTCCCTCTCCTTCTCCCTCTCCCCTTTGATTTTGATGCATGGTTTAATTGGTTTGATGACTCTGCAGGCGGCGGTGCTCCTCCGTTCGCCCTCACTCCCTCCTCCTACTCCTGCTCCTCCTGCTCCTCCTCCCCCATTCAGTCGGCGGAGAGCGAGGTGGGAAGTGAGAAGTAGAAGGCCTCCTCAGAGGACTGCGGGGCTTCCCAGAAGCCCACGGGCCTCCCAAGAGGTCTGCGGTGCGGTGCCTTCTGGGAAGGCCCCGCAGACTTCTCAGAAGGCCGGAGGGCCCTCCGAGCCCTCGGAGGAGGCCCGCCCCCTCCTACGTAAGAGTGACCCTTCGCCGGAGTGACCTTTGGTGCGGGCTCATCGGGCTCCCCCCGATCGCCGAGCACGATGCGATATAAGCGGCCCACGCCCTTGGGTTTGGCCCCCTCGCGCCCCCAAAAGCTGCGCACCAAAGGCCACTCTTACCCAGGGTCACTCTCACGTCTAGCCGACACTCCTCCCCACGGCGCGCCGCCCAAGACAGGGGGCCGGCGGAGTGCTGGAGTGCGCTCGCGGGTGCGCTCCGAGGGGGCTGTGCCTGCAGTGCCTCCTGCCCCTGCGCCGGTGCGTCTCCTGTGGTCGCCGGCCCGACGTCGTGGACGTGGACCTGCGGGCGACGGACGGCGGCGGCGGCGACGCGGAGATCATCCTGCACATAAAGGCCAGCGTAGCGCTGCTGCTAGCCGGCTCTTGCACGGAGCGTCACCAAACGGTGTCAGGCAGCAGCGGTGGCTCGCGATCCTGAGTGGGCGCGCGATGTCTCTGTGGGACACTCGCGCCTTGTCATCTGCACCTTAATTCGGCAGGTTTGATAGGCATTTGCGCAGTTTTTTGTTTCAAATGCCAGGCATCCTGGCATTTGATCATTTGATATTTCATTAACATTGCATGTGATATTCCATTTGATATTTTAGAATTGCATGTGCCAGTCAGCCTCTTTATGGACGAGCCAAACATAGGGCCTATGGCCTATGGCCTGAGATCTTGCCCGCGGCTCTGCTCGGCCTTTTTTGCTGTCTGCTCTCCCTTCCCCTCCTGGCTTCCCCGGGGCCGAGGGAGCGGGGGCGGAGTGGGAGGTGCAGAGAGTCGGGGGCGGAAAAGAGGGGGGGTTATGACTAGGGGGGGGTGGATATCATGGCGCGGGCCATGACATCTCCCCAGATTTCATGGCGCCTCTTCTTATTTCATTACGTCCCAGGCCCCCCCGCTGGGCCGCGCACGTGCCGCCGGTCATGATTTGCACCCCCCCCTCTTGGACACCCCCCTCTTGGCCGCTCCCGACAGAGGCACGGCGGGCCGAGGCGGCCGGGGGAGGGTCGGGGTTGGTCCTGGCCCCGCGTCTCCGCGGCCGCCGTCGCCTCCGGTGCGCCTCCCCTCGCCTCCGCCTCCCTCCGCGCCTCGGCCGCCGCGCAGCGGGCTCGCCCGCAGCGGCAGGTTCCTGCGGCGCGCCTGCCCGCTTCCACAGGGGCGCCCTCGAGGGCGCGAAGTTTAGTCGCGCTCCGCGCCTCGCGGTTCGGCTCCGGCTCCTCCTCTTCCTCCTTCTCCCCTGGGAGGCGGCGCGCGAGAGCGCGAAGAGCTTGCGCCTCGCGCAGCGCGCAGCGCGAAGCTGGGCGCCCTTGCCCGCGGCAGGCCCCGCCGCCGTGCCAGCGCAGCATCGCAGCAGGGAGGGGGTCGAGCTTCGCCTCCCTTCTGGCCTCCTCCTCCTCCTCCTCCTCCTCCTGTTCCTCCTCCTCCTCCTCCTCCTCCTCCTGTTCCTCCTCCTCCTCCTCCTCCTCCTCCTCCTGCGTGTCCGAAGCCTCCTTGGATGCATCTTGGGCTTGGCGAGGTTTCGCCACGGTGCCGCCCGTAGCCGCCTCGTTGCCGCCTTGTGTGCTGCGTGGATCCGGCGAGGTCTCGCCGCGTGGCCGCCCCGTGGCCGCCTCGTTGCCGCCTCGTTGCGCTGGGTTCGTCTCGCGAGGGTTCGCCACGTTGCCTCCCGTTGCCGCCTCGTTGTTGCCTCGTTGCCGCCTCGTGTGCTGGGTTGGTCCAGCGAGGTGTCGCCACGTTGCCGCCCGTTGCCGCCTCGTCGCCCGCCGCGCGCGCTGGGTGTGTCGGCGTGGTTTCGCCACGTTGCCGTCCAGTTGTTGCCTCGTTGCCGCCTCGCGCGCTGGGTGGATTCAGTGAGGTTTCGCCACGCGCCCGCCTTTGCCGCTTCGTTGCCGCCTCTAGCTTGCACCACGTATACTGCGCCACATAGCTTATACTACGTAGCTTGCACCACATAGCTGACACATCCACGGTGCAACAGCTCACTGTTCTGGGTCCGCGCTGGCTAAGTTACCATTTTTGGTTTTGCGTTGTGTGAGGCTTTTTGTATCCCAAGGCGATCTTAAGACGAAACGTATCGGAACCAACGCACATGGATTATCACTCAGGCTTTCGATGTGTTTTTGTTCGCATCTTGTGGAGGCTTTGCTGGAGGTGGCTTGGGCTTCTTGGGCCTCCTTGGGGTATCCTCTGAAGATCTTGTAGCCTTCTAGCCGTTGAGGGTCGCTGGTCTAATTTTGAATAGTCCTGCGACGGCTCGCAGTCGTTCGTGGCCCCCCTCGTGCTGCGGGCACGGCGGCGGAGCTTGCTGTTCAATTCGAATTTGGCTTATGTCGACATTTTCAGTCGGCAGAATCTTGTCGTCAGCGAGTCAGCGACGACAACGTCGACCGTCGACAGCATCCTTCGCAGCGGCTGCACCGTCGACAGCATCCTTCGCAGCACACGCATTCGGACGGTAAAAGCGAAGCCACTCTCCTGAGTCGATCCTCGTGCCCGCTTCGAAAGTGCTGTCTTTCTCTACGGCGCGTCGGTCATCCACCTCCTGATCCTTCGGAGGGTTTCTTGGCCACCGTTGACCCGCTGGGCGATGAGCCGCGCTGCTTTTGTGTGATAGCCAATCCCGCGTCAGCTCGTTACCCAGAAGCGGCTAGCGTGCAAACTTCGTGTCCTGAATTTACCCGAACCAGCCAACCTCGTCGCGGTGGGATGTCTTGCACAGCTCCTTTTGTTGCAAGGGGACTTCTGCACTAGTCGGCATCCATCCCCCCCTTGCGTGGCACGATTCTTGGTTGGAACGTCGTCCTATCATTGGAAGACCTCGCTGTAACACACTTCCCTGCATTACCGCATCGCACCCATGCTGCTTGCTCTAATATCTGACATGCTTGAGCACAATGTCTAATTTGATGTGTTTTTTTCTTTCGGGCCAGCTCCATAAAGTGATGGTGTACACTTTTCTGTTGTTCCACGATGGTTTCGGGCTGTTCCTTATGTCTCCGTCCACTTTGGGTCTCCATGCTCTCATTGGGTTCTTCGGAGTGTTCCCCAGCGCTAATCCGCTGCCACTTTCTGAGCCCTGGGAAGTCCAGCAAAGCTGCGTTCCACGACGACCCAAGGTAGACCTCGCCTCTCGAGGTGCGTCCAGGCGTAGGCAGTCGTCACTCCCTAAGTCCGTCGCCGCAGAGCGTAGCGGATCTGCGTCCGACGTGGGCCCCACTTCCGTTCTGCCAGGCCTCGCCTCCCTGGGCGCCCCTCAGCGTGGAAGTTTCACAACTTCCTGGGCCCCTGCCTGGGGAGCCTGGCTAGGGGGCCACATGCGAACCCTGCCCCTACCCCCCACGACTTCTGAGGGGGAGGGTGGGGTTCACTTCGCACCTGGGGAGCCTGGCGGAGCCGCGTCAGCAGCGGCTCCACACGAGAGACCTCGAGCCCCCTTTGGAGACTGCAAGCGCAGAGCCGCCCTGGGCGCCCCTCGGCGTGGAAGTTTCGCAGCTTCCTGGGCCCCTGCCCCGGGGGCAGTCCTGGCCGAGGGCCCAGGACGGCCCCCCCCCCCCGAGGAGGAGGGGAGGAGGAGGAGGAGGAGGAGGAGGGAGGAGGGAGGAGGAGGAGGAGGAGGAGGAGGAGGAGGAGGAGGAGGAGGAGGAGGAGGAGGAGGAGGAGGAGGAGGAGGAGGAGGAGGAGGAGGAGGAGGAGGAGGAGGAGGAGGAGGAGTGGGAAGCCTGGCGGAGCCGCGTCAGCAGCGGCTCCCGCACGAGAGACCTCGCGCCCCCCTTTGGAGACTGCAGGCGAGCGCAGAGCCGCCGCGCCCTTGGCCCCCCGGGGGGAGCGCCGCGGAGCCGCGCCCCGCGCGTGGCTCAGATCGGAGCCTGGCCCCCATGGATACTTCCAAACTCAGGAGGGGAAACAACTCTCCAGATTTCTTAAGAAAGGGGAGGGGGTCACAACCCTCTCAGGCGAGAAGTTTTAGACCCCCCCCAGACCATCCACGAAAGAGCGGCCCTTTGCCAGACCCCCCCCCGAACCCTCAAGACAGCTAAAATCAGACACCCCCCCCCCAAATGTGACCCCCACCACTTTATTGTGGAATCCGGAGCACACAGACACAATTAATCGTCCACTTCCCCAGAAAATATGGAAAAATATGGGACATGGGGGGAAGACCAAGAACCAGAACATATGGGAAAATATGGGGAATCCTTTTATGTGTGTGTATTTATTTGTGTGTCCCAGGGCCCCTTCAGATTCGGGGGTGGACAGAACCCCCAACAGTGACACGTCGATTAGTGAAATGTCCGTTTTCGGTTCTCGAGAGGGCGCCGTGGCCGTTATTTTTCAGGCTTGCGCCCGCCAGGTTCGGGCCTCAGGTCGTTTTCACTAAACCACGTTTTACTAAAGGGAGGTCTGTCCATCCCCGTCCAGGATACCTCCAAACGTGGAGCTCTCTTCTTTTCCTGCGCTCTGACTGGGGACCACAGCGTAGCCGCGTTCCATCTAAAAGTCGGACCGAGGTGTGAGCTCGAGGTCGTTGCGGGGAGGGTACCCCGATGTCCTTCGTGTTCGTTGGATGTTCTTGTGCATCCTTGGGGAGGGCACCCTCGAATGTTCTGCTTTCTTTGGGGCCGTCTTGTGGTTCAGGCCTCTTGGGCCGTTTTGCGGGCCTGTTGGGGGCCTCTTTGGCAGTCTTGGGGCGATCTCTGGTGCCTATGGGGCCGCCTTGAAGTAATGGAAGCCCGATCACCTGAGAACGCTCAGACCATTCATGAGCTAAAGATAATCGTTGATTTGGCCTCCCGGAGGTCCTCTTTGCGCCCTCTTCGGGCGTCCTGGGGCTTCATCATGGGCAGTCTAGAGGGCATTTCGGGTTGTCTTGGAGCCATCTTGTCCGTCCTGGGACCGTCTTGGGCTCTCTTCAAGCCATCTTGGCTGTCTTGGAGGCATCTTGGAGGCCATCTTGGGCCGTGTTGCTCGTGAACTCGAGCATCTCATTCAAGTGGTACCTGAGCGGCGCCACTCGGGGAGCCTCAGGTGAGCCTCTTCAAGGCAACTGTAGGGCTTTTTGGGAGCCTGATAGGGGCCATTCGGGGGCCTCTTGGGGTCTCTTTTAGGACCCTGGGGGTCTCTTGTGGCCCTTTTGGGGGCTTTTTGGGGTCCTGCTGACGGTCCCGGGGGTGCCGTTGTGGTGGCGAGCGCGACATCTCACTTTAGGTTCCCCCTCTCGGCCCCTCTCGGGGTCCTCTTGGGGCTCACCGTCTTGGCCGCTTCTTGGGACCGTCTTGGGCCCCCCTTGGGCCTTCTCGGGGCGCCTTTGGGGGCCTCTGGGGCCGTCTTGGAGCGATCTTGGGAGCCTCTCGAGGCGTCTTGGAGTGTGGAAAGCCCCCAACATCGAGAACACTAAACTGCTTCTTCAAAAATATCTTGATCATGATTGAAGTCGGCCTCTCGGGGCCCCCTGGGTGTGCTCTTGGGGCTCTCTTGGGGCCTTCCTGGGGCCATCCTGGGCCTCTTGGCCCGATCGCTCGGCGACTCGGGGCCCTCTCTCGTCTCGGGGGCCTCTCGGGGCCTCTCGGGGCCCGTCTTGGGCCCCTCGTGTCTCCGAAACAGTTCTGCGGCGAGGCCCAGTACTTCCAGCAGCGCCCGAGAGCGCCCGAGAGCGCACGGGAGCGCCCGGAGTTCCTGGCCGTGGGGACCTTTGAAAGGACCTCAGGGTTGAGGGCAGCAGCGGGCTGCAGGGGGGCCGCAGGACACTCCGCTCGGTGTCTGGCGGCACGTGGGCGGTTCGCTTGGGCGCTGAAGCTGCTGCGGGGAACGGGAGACCCAAGGGGGCTCTCCAAGGGGACGCAAAGTTGGCCCCAGTCGGTAAAGCCGGAAAACCCGAGGGGGCTCCCCAAGGGGAACGAAAAGTGGGCCCCAGTCGAAGAAGGACGAACTGCACAAAAATTATGCTAACGGAGTTCCCCACATAAAGAGATTAACGGTTTCGTGGGACCCATTTTCTTGATGCCCTCCTCGCTTTGGCGGGGCCAGTAAATAGTATGGTTTTCTGATACCCTCCTCGCTCAGGCGGGGCCTCCCTGGAGGGGTGGGAGGGGCACGAAACCATGTAAATAGTATGGTTTTCCGATACCCTCCTCGCTCAGGCGGGGCCTCCCTGCAGGGGTGGGAGGGGCACGAAACCATGTAAATAGTATGGTTTTCGGATACCCTCCTCGCTCAGGCGGGGCCTCCCTGGAGGGTGGGAGGGGCACGAAACCATGTAAATAGTATGGTTTCCGATACCCTCCTCGCTCAGGCGGGGCCTCCCTGGAGGGGTGGGAGGGGCACGAAACCATGTAAATAGTATGGTTTTCGGATACCCTCCTCGCTCAGGCGGGGCCTCCCTGGAGGGTGGGAGGGGCACGAAACCATGTAAATAGTATGGTTTTCGGATACCCTCCTCGCTCAGGCGGGGCCTCCCTGGAGGGGTGGGAGGGGCACGAAACCATGTAAATAGTATGGTTTTCCGATACCCTCCTCGCTCAGGCGGGGCCTCCCTGGAGGGGTGGGAGGGGCACGAAACCATGTAAATAGTATGGTTTTCGATACCCTCCTCGCTCAGGCGGGGCCTCCCTGGAGGGGTGGGAGGGGCACGAAACCATGTAAATAGTATGGTTTCCGATACCCTCCTCGCTCAGGCGGGGCCTCCCTGGAGGGGTGGGAGGGGCACGAAACCATGTAAATAGTATGGTTTCGGATACCCTCCTCGCTCAGGCGGGGCCTCCCTGGAGGGGTGGGAGGGGCACGAAACCATGTAAATAGTATGGTTTCCGATACCCTCCTCGCTCAGGCGGGGCCTCCCTGGAGGGGTGGGAGGGGCACGAAACCATGTAAGTAGTATGGTTTTCGGTATGGAGTGGTATGTAATGGTATGGTAGGTATGGTAGGTATGTTATGGTACGATATGGTATGATATGGTATGGTATGGTATTGGAGGCATGGTATGGTATGGTACGGTGTGGCATTGGTGTGATATGGTATGGTATGCTATGGTCCGCCATGGTATGGTATGGTACGGTATGGTACGTATGGTGTGGTATGGTATGGTATGGTATGGTATGGTATGGTATGTGTGGTACGAACTATGGTATGGTATGGTGTGTGTGGTAGGAATAATATTGTGCTGTATGGAAGATGGAGCGGGAGGTGGGTGGGAAGGAGAGGGTGTTCTGGGAAAACAAGAACCCCACTCAGGATGTGGGGAATAAAACTTTCGGAGCTCCGCGCGGATAGCTCGGATCGGCGACAGGGCGCCCCCTGGCGGCGCTGGGGCGCCGCCCCCTGGCGCGCTCCGCGCGCCAGGGAGCGGGCTGGCGGATGTCGAGCGAGTGCTATGCCAAGAGTGTCAGGTTCGACGACGGTTTTGCATTCGGTGCAGTAGGGACCCATGCCAAGAAGCACCCTGCTCGCCTCCAGTGTGCCCTGGGTTTCTTGGGTTTCGATGGTTTTTGTATTATGGGAAGCGTGACGTTCCCACACCAAGAATCCATGGACGTCCTGGGGCCTCAGGGTCGGGTTTTCTTGTGGAAGGTCTCTTGTGGTCGGGCCCCTACTGTATTGCTTGGCTGCATGATCGGCTCGGCTTGATTGCTTGGTCGGCCTGGCCCGAAGGGCGCAGCCAGCCTCTGTGCTTGATCGGCGCTGAGGTGTGCTCGCCACGTCAGGCGCCACGGTGGGCCTCGCGTTGGGCTCGGGTCCGGGAGCTGGGGGCCCAGGGCCGAGGCAGGAAGCAGCAGCTCCACACCTCCTCCTCCTCCTCCTCCTCCGCCTCCGCCTCCTCCTTCTCCTCCTCCTCCTCCTCCTCCTCCTCCTTCTCCTCCTCCTCCTCCTCCTCCGCAGATGTTCCGGGTCAAGAGCGGTGGCGGCAGCTGGACGTGCGGGGATCTCATGATGGGCCAGCGCAGGCCCCAGCGTCTGCGACGGCCTGTCCGCGGCGCAGGCAGCAGCGTGGAGGGGCTGTGGCAGCGCGAGCTGCCCCGGGCGCGTGGCGAGCCGTGCCGCCGCTGCCCGCCGGGCCGCGGCGAAAGCCTGCGGCTCCTGTGCACGCTTGCGGCGTCGCTGGCGCTGCGCTTTTGGTACTGGCAGCGTGCAGCTTACCCGGCGTTTCGGTCACCACTCGGATGCACTTCCAAGCCCCCTGCTTTTCGGACAGCTGACCCCTCATCTGGATGTGGGCCGACGAGTGCTGCTTGGTGGCCGTCCCGACTGTGCGGCGGCGGGCTTTGATTTCAGAGTTCGCGGAGATCGAGCACACACTTGTCAATTGTCGCCGTTGTCGGTGTCAACGTCCAAGTCGCAGTCGTTGACAGCTGTAACGTGGTTCATGCGATGTGAATTCAGCCTGGCCAGCACGTGGAAAGGTGCCTAGTCGTTTATGCACGCCAAGTACGTACTGTGCGCCGCCGAACGGCGGCGCGTGGATCTGTTTCACATCAGCACGGATCTGACTGTGACCACGCCGAGTGCGATTCGAATCACGTGTCTAGATGCCCTGGACATTGCCGATGGCTCTCGTTTTGCATGGACCGTGCTGATTTTGATGGCTGGGGCAGGATTAGATAGGCTCCCAATGCCAATCTTCGACTGTCTTATCTAGATGCGCCCTTGATCACATTTTTTCCGGATGAGGGTGACGAGGATGCCGAGAAGGCGACGGAGGTGGCGGATGATGATGCTGCTGCTGCTGATGATGATTATGATGAGGATGCGGATGAGGATGATGATGATGATGCTGATGATGATGATGATGATGATGATGATGATGATGATGATTATGCTGATGATGTGATGATCATGATGATGATGGTGGTGGTGGTGGTGGCGATGATGATGATGATGATGATGAGGATGATGATGATGATGATGATGATGCTGCTGCTGCTGCTGCTGCTGCTGCTGATGATGATGATGATGATGATGATGATGATGATGATGATGATGATGCTGCTGCTGCTGCTGCTGCTGCTGATGATGATGATGATGATGATGATGATGATGGTGATGAAGATGATATTCGAATATGAGATTCGTGGGTGGACAGACCCCCCACGCTGACACATCAATTAGTGACTTGTCCGTTTTCGGTTCTCGAGGGCGCCCGTCCGTCATTTTTCAGGCTTGCGCCCGCCAGGTTTGGGCCCGAGGTCGTTTTCACTAAACCACGTTTTATTAAAGGGGTTTCTGTCCATCCCCGAGAGATAGAAGAGGGAAACATGACTGTTCCTGGCAGCAAGCGAAGAGAAGGAGGAGGCCTTCTCAGAATTCTGAGAAGTCCCCGGCCTTCGGACAAGTTTTCCGAGCCTTCCCCGAAGACACATGAAAAATCGCAGAAGGCGCGAGGGCTTCAGAGAAGCCCCGCCGCCTTCCGAGAAGGCCTTCTCCTCCTCACTTCCCTCTCCTGGGCGCGCAGCCGAGCATCGGTCAAAATGGACCCCCGCTCGGGGGCCACATGCGAACCCTACCCCTACCCCCCACGACGTCTGAGGGGGAGGGTGGGGTTCACTTCGCTCGAGTGCTCCCGAGCGAAGTGAACCCCACCCTCCCCCTCAGAAATCGTGGGGGCGTAGGGGTAGGGTTCGCATGTGGCCCCCCACCCGCAGCCCTTCCTGGGGT